AAAATTTCAGTAGGGAAATGTATAAATAACACACAAGGCTATCAAGACACATCAGTTAAAGTACAGGACTTGAATTATCGTGTAACACCTAATTCTGTCCTTGCCATGATAGTGTTGCTAAACTAACGTGAAAAATGATGGGGATCTTCCCATGCTTTTAAACATCTGAAGGCTGCAAATGCCTAAAAGAACGCCGTTAGGAAACGTGAAAAAATTAGTACTACATGGTTTTTCGTGGAAAATCATTAGTCAAAAGTCAATTATTTCGTTTCAAGGCTGCTGCCAGGAGGTGGAGAATGTAGCGCAAGACAAATGAACAATCGATGGAATTCTCAACTCATTTGCACGACACTTAAACGACTTAAACGCGCTCATCTCGGCTGCAACTGTTATAACGATCCCACCGAAAACAGTCTTTTGAGAGGTTCCTGCGATACCATCCCTGTGATTCCACGTTTCGGCAGCGAACGTTGTATGTGAACACATTTTGGGAGTAAAACGAGCTTGGCTTTAACTAACGTGCAAATCCCAATGCCACGTCTCCACCGCAGAGTCACCGCGTAGGACGTCTAAGTGAGCGCTGTCGCCTCCTGCGGCACTCTGCTTCGTGCTTTTAGTTTTGAAATTGCAAGACTAACGGAAGCTCGCCTGTCCTAATTTTTGCTACCGGAGAATAACGTCTCCCCTTCTTATTTTGCTACGGTCACCTCCCTTGAATTCTTAGCTACCGCGGCTCCCTTTTTTGAGGGCAGTTGGAGTCGCTTGGACTCCTTGTTCAATAAGTTAATGTATCTAACCTGGATAGAGTAACCGTTGCCTCACTTAAGATTGAATAGCTTTGGTCCGTGCCAATGAGCGACCCCGTATTTTTATAAAAATTCAAACGTTGGGGCTACGAGATTGTAGCCCGTTACCGTGTAGCGTTAATCTCGTCTGTCATATTTTTATACATATGTTGCCAGCTAAAAAAATGATTATGTTCATGGCATAAATAATGTTTTTTTTACTTCGGTAACAACCTTGGTCAAAGTGGTCACTAGGTGCTAGTCGAAATAACAAATCAGAAAGACAAGTATATGGCTATCTGGAGGTTAGGTGATGTTGATAATTTGAATGGGCGGCCCAATATGAAACAATCATAGATAATAAAATTTAAAAAAGCGGAAAACCCGCAGGTGCTCCTCAAACTGCGCGGCGCGATAACAAATACAAAAATCGATTGTACATATCGGCCAATGGGTGGACCCAGATCGCATCTAGTCATCGTCTCTCATCTCTCTCTCTCTCTCTCTCTCTCTCTCTCTCTCTCTCTCTCTCTCTCTCTCTCTCTCTCTCTCTCTCTCTCTCTCTCTCTCTCTCTCTCTCTCTCTCTCTCTCTCTCTCTCTCTCTCTCTCTCTCTCTCTCTCTCTCTCTCTCTCTCTCTCTCTCTCTCTCTCTCTCTCTCTCTCTCCTGTTCATTCTTTACACGTCCAGGCGGAGGTGGTAATCACAGGCTGGGTCGGCTCCCCTATATATTGATTATACAGGCCTGCGCTAGCTGCTGCTACTGCTACTGCTGACCGATCGAGTGCCGTTGGTTAGTGAGTGAGTTCGGTACGCCCAGATTGCGTGCCGCGCCGCACACAACATTATTTTAAGTGGCGCGAGAGCGAAGAATATAAATATTGCTACAAAAACATTGAAACGAGAACGCTCGTGAAAACCCCATGTCAGAGAAACTGTAGAAAAAAGGAGAGTGTCATGTTCAGGCTCGCGATCAGGGCTATAGTATAGCGTCTTCGTTGGTAAAACAATTACCTTAAAAGCGCCTATTTGCCGTCTCCTCCCCGTCTGCGTTAGATTATTATGGTGGCTCTGTTGCTGTCTGGTTGTTAATTCTCAAGTTCCAACGTTTCAAGTAACCATCTGATAAGAGAGGGCAGTTGGTTGTGACCGCTGTCATGGTCTGGCTTTTATCGCATCGTTATTGCTACAATACTTTAGTTGCGGTTAGTAGTCAGTTGCTTGTCTACGATCTAATTTCGGTTCAGCCGGAAAGACCGACCTAGACGGTCGAGACGAGTCGTATGGATTTGTCTATTGATTAGTATAGCGCTCACATAATTTCTCGTCTCTTTCATCTTCATGCAATGAGAGCATGGGACGAACGCGATTACCTAATTGGTTTTTATATGAGTTTAATGACTTGTGTTAAACAGTCTTGCGGCTTTGTTTGTGTTTTATCTCGGTCGCCGAGGCAGATGTACGGCTTGTGCAGTAGCGATGGCGTCTTCTCGCTCTCGTCGAGAATGGTAGAAGAGATTCTGTTCACACTCACAGTGCGTGTGTTATCTCCGGCGGGTTCCCGCAACGTTGATTTTGTTTTCGTTTGCTCTGTTTTTATTCGGAGAGGCGCATTGAATTGCTACGTTCTATATTTTGCAGTTGGGGTTTTTCAGTGAGATGTTTGCCGTTTATTTGAGTATTCGCTATACATCACTTTTCATACTGATTACTTGGTGTCGGTTTTATTCTGTTTGTGGGTGTGATCAGGGTGTGATGTAACATCATGTTTGACATTTCAGATTTTTGCGTTCAATGTCTTGAGCATTTGGCATTTGCTACATATTATTTTTCCATTTTGCTGTTAGTGTTTTTCTGTTTGTATGTTGTGATTGTCCCATTTTAGTTCATACTGCTTTCGTTCAGAACGTTGAGTATTTTTTTACTGCAAATTGCCAAATATTCTCTTCCACTGTGACGTGTTTTCTGTTCATGGGATTATTGATTTCGTTTCGGACGTTATTGTTTCTAGTCAAAATTACATTAATTCCTGTTTGAAAGTGTGCAACGCAGTGTGCATGCTATTATGAAAGTGGGCGCCTCGTGGTGCTTGTACTCATGTAATGGTGGCATAACTACTGCGGCTGGTTGACTGTACCGTGAGTTAAGTTCGTCGCCACGAATTATTATGCTATGTAGAGTACTGTACAGTTCATATTATTGTAAGTAGCCCCCACCCTCTCACACGCGCACTGATGCGGTGTATTTACTCTTAGTACTTAGTATGGTATCCGGTAAAGGACGGACCAGTAGGGTAGGGAGAGGGGAGCCCGAATCGCAGAGGTTACTGTCACCTGCCATAAATATGTATGCATGTCTCATCTGCGAAGAGTTTCTGTAGGATCAGACGGTAGAGTCATGATCAAGGGGTTTCTTATCGCCGACTGGCTCTCTCTGTTGCAGTTACATCGACCAGGGAAAGAATCCACAGCTGTACACGAGGGACTGCATGGAACGCGCCCTGCAGAAGAACGAACAAGTGAAAGGCAAGATCGACGCATACAAGGTGAGTGTGTTCACTCGCAGGGTGTGTAGGCAGCTTTACTATTATGAATTGCAGCGTGAGAAACTGCGAGAGAATGATAGAAAGGGAGAGCGAAAGGGTAGATAGAGAGAGGAGTTGAAAATGAAGAGCGAGAGAGAGAGAGAGAGACAGACAGAGACAGAGACAGAGACGGAAACAGAGACAGAGA